TGTGCTTGCGCCCCTTGGAGGCATGCTGTTTATTTTCTCTTGTATCTCTCATCAATAAAGCACCCATTTTTAAGACTTTGTCTCAAGAGGTTTTTCCCTTACACAATCGTCTGAATTTCTGTTTTAATTGTTAGCGACTACCTGCGCGAAACAGTTGTGATTAGACAATTTTACCTATTTCGTTCCTCTTTCCTCCTTAAACCATGCCACAACCTTGTTTTCTCTTTTCTTTCCCTAATTTGCGCAATCCCACAACTTCTACAAAACAACACTAATAAACACATTAAAAACGTGTAGCTCAAAATTAAGTTAAAAATAAAATAAACTTGTGAGTAAAACATACTCATCAAATACCCTCAAACTTAACGGTTTGCTAGTTCTCGAGCAAACACAAAGCAAATGAGAATACTAAAAATTGTACCTCGAAAACTTAGTCAAATAGCTTGCCCTTTGGCTCAGTATTAAGAACATTATATCAACTCATGAACAGTTTCAAAATCACAATACAAGAGTCAGATTTCCATTTATCCAACGCAAAACAAGTGTGTGTGTGTGTGTGTGAAGAATCAAATTTAATTCTTTCTACGGTCGTAGGATTCACATACCCCCAATCTTATTTCTTTCATTCTCTCCCTAAGGTGTAACTCTAAAATTTAGTTTATTTGATCAGTTCCTTATACCACTTAAATTTGGTTTAGTCTAACCAATAACATCAACAATTCATTCATGTCATGATTCTCTCAATTATAAGTGCTTCACAATCAAGTTTTAATCAAGTGAGTCAAATCCACTAGTTATCTAATCCCATAACGACCAGCTCTTACTTGCATATAATTTTTCTCTTTTTGATATTTTTTTCAGCCCAATATTGGCCTCACCCATTTTTCTCTTTTAGACCCCTGTTGCGAGTTTTCAGTCGGTAACTCACAGACTTTTGAATACCAAAGGATACCAGGTTTCAAGATACTCTTACGAACTTACTAACTCGAGTAAAAAAGGTTCCAACGTGAGGCATAATCTCAATAAGTGCATTGCTTACTTTTTATAAAAGAAAAGGAAAGTTTACAAGAGTTAGATCTCTAGCATTTGGTCATCACCAAACTTATACTAGAAATTCAAAGATACTCCACACAAACCTTTTTAACATGCACAAAATCACCACAATCTTAAATCGTCTCCTTTACCGGCTAGAACACCCCAAATTATTATGAGCATGTTCAATCGTGCTTAAAATTCAATTAAAATTGAAAATATAGCCGTTACTGAGTCTCACCCGTCTAATAAAAGTCAACAATAACAGTTAGTTTTTCAATTTTAATTCGATTTTAATCTTTACTGAATACGCCCTATATATAGAAGGTTAAAAGATGTTGTAAATCAAATGTTAAGGGATTAAGCATCTAAGTCATCTATTCAACATATACATATAAATCTTCTTATTTCTATATGACGCTATACTCAATTATTGTGTATAAAAATTGTACCGCTTCGCATGGATAAGTAGAAAATTCAACTACACATATGATTCATTCACAGTCCACAAATTAATACGTGCTCTCAAGTATATTCATCATAGCCAACAAATTATCTAACTCACACAAGAATGCATAGCAATTTTTTTCACACGAAATCAAATAATATCACACAAACACAATTACGAAACATAAGACAATAGCAATTAACCCTTTGATTTACCTCCCTAAACTTAAAACGTACATTGTCCCCAGTGTGAAAATAAATACAAAGAAGGGGTCGGACTTCCTTGAAGACATCAGTAGGTGTCATGCCATCGCCTTGATGAAATGGATCCTGGTTGGTCGGATGATATGAAAACGTTAGTTGTGGGGGAAATGACACGTGTGGGTATGTAGAGGCCAACATCGAGAAGAACTCGTTCTGATATTGATACTGTGTATACATAGAGGTCTGCAAATGCTGATATTGATCTGTCTTAGATACCTGCAGTTGATCAAGTTGATGCTGGATTCCATCATTTCTCTCTTGATTCTTCAATTCCAACTCGTCTTGTCTCTGAGTTAGTTGCAATTGCATAGCCTTGATTCGACCAATAATGTCATCAGTCTATGAACTGAAAGGCGGAAGACGACGGGACGGGATGACTATGCCTCGGTGACATGTGGCGGGGCACTGGTAAAGAACTGCTTGCTAATGAATTGCCAAATTATCTTCTTAGTTAGGGCTGATTTAGGGTGGACTATCTCCTCTGTCGGAGATGTCACAATTTAAGATTGTTGGGTCCTCTCAGATTTTTTATCCGAGAGAACCGCATGTTGGGTCCTCTTAGATTTTTTTTCCTTTTTGGCAAGCTTACCTACTATCTTAATAATATTTATTTCCAAAACATTTCACACTGAAATGTAAATTCTAATTTGGACTAATACAAATATTTATTTCAAAATAGTGTGAGCCTATTCTGTGAAGATTAAAATCTAATAAAAAATTTTAATTTAAAGTTAATAATTAATTTTAATCACGTATTTCGTGAAACTCACGACATTTCACAACTTATATCGAAATTTACTAAAAAATTGATTTTAATCTATACTAAACAGGAGCTAATTTCCCATCAAAGTAGAGATCAACTCGTGAAGGTCGACATAATAAATTGGCCGATGTTGACGAATTAAACAAAATAACATTATTATTCAATTTATTCTTATTCATGAACCGAGTGATAAATTTGTAAGCTCATATTTATGAGGATTAAAATTAATTTTTTAGTAAGTTTTGATAAAAGTTGAAAAAATGTATTGTTGAAAAGTTGTGGATCATGAAATGTGCGATTAAAATTAATTTTAATTTAGTTGCCAATTGTTTGTGGGCCGGGCCACGGGCCTGCTCTCGATTTTCCCATGTGGAAATTACAAGAAGGCCTACTTTTCAAGTTCCAAATTCAAAAATCAGATTTTAAGTTTTTATGTTCAAAAATCAGATGTTTTATATATAGATACATGCTTTTTATAAATAATTAAATTTTAATAATAATATTATAAAAATTAAATTATATACACCCTACCCCCACCCCCAATGTAATTTTCTTCTCTCGCCGTCCGTCTCTCAAAACGCTCTCTCTCTCGTCGTCTCTCACTCCGATCCTCTCCTCACCGGCGGCGACTGCACAGATCCAAACGGCGCCTCTCACTCCTCTATTTCTCGTCCCTGCAGGAGCACACTGTGTGCAGCGTCGGCGTCGCGCGACGCTGCTCTGAATCATAGATTCAGATCTATAAAACAAAATGTGAGTTCTCCATTCCCCTCATAACCCTTCCTTCTCAGATCTGGAATTAGGATTCGGATTGTGGTTGTTGGCTTCTCGATGGAAGCAATCCGGGTGGTGTTTGCAGTTGGCTCGAAATTGGATAAAGTGATGGGTAATTTCTTGGCATTGTCGGCGTGCGGCGGCGATTACCGTTCACTGGTTTTGTGCGGTAGAGATCTCCAGGCGACGACGACTGTAGTGGCGTTGATGTTGACGGCGCTCGTGAGGTGTTGGCGGTGTTGGTTTTGGGGGTCGTTTTCGTTGGTTGTATTTGCATTCTTGGCGGTGGCTGTGGTGGCGTTGATGGCGCTCGTGAGGTGTTGGTGGGGGGATTGATTTGTTGGTGGTGTTTGGGTGGTGGTTGTGGTTGTGATGTTGGGTGGTGGAGGTTGTGATGCTCGTCGCGATGGTAGTTATTGATTGTGGTTGGCGGTGGTTGGTGCTTAGTGGCGGGATGGGGGAGTGGGTGCTGTTGGTGTGTAGTGGTGGTCGTGGTGATGTCGATATTTTTATATGATGGTTTATTGCCGAGAGGTGGTGGTGGTGGTTTCGGCGACGTGGCTATTTGTTGGTGGTGATGCTGTTGTTATGGTGGTGGCGGTTAGCAGGTGAGGATGGTCACAATGGTGGTCACGGAAGTCGGTGGTGGTAACAATGGTGGTCACAAAAGTGACCGATGCTGTGACCTGAGCTATATACTGTGACCGATGTTGTGACTATCAATAAAAACGTGAGCCATGCCCAAAAAAATATTCTGTGACCTGTGCTGTGGCCATTTGAAATAAACTTGTGACTATCAACCAGAATCTGAGTAATTTGAAAATAAAATGGGACTATGAACAAAATCGTGAGCCATGTGCAATATATTTTGTGACTTGTGCTGTGACCATTTGAAAATAATATGTGACTATTAATAAAAATGTGAGACGTGAGCCTTATTGTGTTATCAATTATTATAAACAAAAAATCATGTGTTGTGACCTGTGACCTTGGCTGTGACCTGGACTGTGACCTGTGACCTTGGCTGTGACCTGGACTGTGACCGTACAAAAATTCATGTCATCGGAATAGTCGTCGGAATCGGAGCAGTCGCCGGAACAGTCACCGGAATCGGAGTGGTCGCCGGAGAAGTCGTCGGAATCGGAGACGTCGCCGGAGTGGTCGCCGGAGCAGTCGCCGGCGTGGTGGGGTGGTGGTGGTGGGGGTGGGTTAATTTTATATATATATTATATATTTAGTTATTTATTTATATCTTTTTATATATTTAAATAAATAAATAAATATTTATAAATATGTGTATATATAGGTCAAAAAATCTGATTTTTGAAATGTAAAAGTTGTTTTGTTATTTTTGAAATAGGGTAAAGATAAAGTAGGGAAAATGAATATTTTCCTTTTCCCAATTCCGAATTTCAAACTCCGTCCACGGTTAAACATCACTCCTATTCTCTCCATTCAAATTCTTCTTCCCACCGCCGGCCGTCCGATCGCCGGCTGATCAGACTTGTAACAAATACAATTTTTCTAAAAGAGATATAAATGTCGATGGGAAGCGACACCACATGGGTAGGAAAGAAACCACTGAAGCGAGTGGGAGGCATGTCCGATGCCCTCTCAATTGCCGCCGATCTTGGATTCTCCATCACCCCTCCGCCTTCACAGGTGGTTCCACCACCTACTCTCTCTCTCTCTACTCGTACAATATTGTTAAACGTGAATTTATTTGACGTTTGGTTTGATGTAATACGAGTTTTTTTTTAATAGGTTCAAGCTTAATTGACTTCATTTTTTTGGTTTAGGAAGATATCGAAAATTTATCTGCCGGTACAGGTGAAAAAGGGGATGACTTGGTAAGGATTTTAAGAGAATTAACTTCTGTACAAAGAAAAATTGCAGATTTACAAGTGGAACTTCAGGGCCGGAAGGTGATGCATAACATTTCCACCCACTCTTCAGAGCAATTTAGGAATTTCTGTTTTATGTTTATATTAGAAAGCAAATGGATGTTTTTTTACCCACTTACCGGTGCTGAACGGTGCAAGACTGCAGGAAGGTCAAATTTTGGAAGATTTATAGTAACTTGATTTATAGTGCAATTGCACTGGCTTCTTTGCATAAATTATTGTCCATTTAACTGTCGTCAAACCATGCAAATTATGTTTAATGTATTGGAGTGAAACTCGTTTCTAAATCAATGAACCCATTACTTTTGTCCAAACAAGTCAGTAGACAAGGCAGTCGTGCACATTCTGGACCATGTGGAAGGACACTGGTTAGAACAAAATGCATGTATTTTTCCTTGCACAGCCAGATCCAACGATCATATCCATGTTTTTTGGTCTTTGCTTTATGGGAAATTGATAATGCTTGCACCGTTACACTTAAGCAGGTGTGTGCATAAAGAAGTGCCTAAGTAGATATGCGCATGTGTATGCTTGGATAAGCCTTTTCCCACTGAAAGAACTTGTTAAATTTTTAGTCCTATACATCCTATAAATTTGATCTATTGCTCATTTAATTTTTATACTATTATATAAACCACGCGATGAACTGTAATTAGTCTACTTCCTTGTTACCTTCCAATAACTGCAAATTGAACATTATTTCGCTTTCTGAATTTCTACTTTGCTTAATGACAGTAAAAATGTATACATGCAGTAAGCTTAGTTGGCCAGACATCTTTCTTGGTGAATTCACGTTATTGTCTGTTGAAACTCTAGGAGGACAAGAATGTAGCTCATCTGACGCACGTGAGTGAAATGGAAAAGAAGATCGAGACTTTGGCTCGGATCACGACTATACTAAAAGATGTTATTCAGAACAAGGTATTTTCCTAATTAGAAATGTTCCATAGTGTTTTTGCCATGCATTGAATTGATGTTATAAATACTTTACTTTAGTGTTTAACAATGCTATCGTAAAAGAGTTGCCTCGTGGCCTTATCTAAATATATTCGCTCCACTTAAGGTGGCAGTCTGCCTGAAGAAGATTTGTCGATTTTAAGAATTTGAACAAAGATATCTTACAGAAGGCTAGACAAAGACAGATTTTGATTTGTCAATTACACAACTAATTTCTGATTTCATATTTGGGAACCAACTTCAGAAATCCTTGAGTTCTTAGTCATTAACAGTGTATTAGTTGCTCCAAATAAGCCCTTAATCAGAAATGATATATTACATTTTGGATTTACGAGAGAGCAGATGGAAAAGGAAGTAAAGAGCTGTCTTACTTTGGCATCTAGTCTTTCGAAATTCTGAAAGTTTTATGTAATTATTATATCAAAATCCAGTCACAATTTTTCACAAACCCATAGGCATGGACCGTATGGTTGTAAGATGGAAGAACGTTGCAGATGTAAAAATACCAAGTCTTAGAACTACTCATAAATTAAATGTTTTATAACCTTAATAATTTTTTATAAATGTTGCCTGGCTTCTATTTCTAAGCCAGACAAGTGTTTTAAGATTCTCACTACTAGAGGAAGAAACTTAGATACCTGTCTTTTGGATTAAATTTCTTCCCAATCAATGTGCTTATGCATTGGTATTGTGTTCATAGCAGAAGAATTAACTCCATCACAGCAGCCTGTGGAAAACATATTCTTTAATAATGCAAATATCTGCCTTCTTTCTTTTTCTTGATTCTTGAGGCACTTGTTTACTGAACCATAAATGATATGTGTTGCTCTTAGATGATGTGCATGACTTCTTGCTTTATAGGATAGGATTATAGCTCGCCTCCAACAACCTTATTCATTAGACTGCATTCCCGTGGAAGCAGAATATCAGGTACGTTATTCGGTGAGATTTAATCTTATCAGTTTCCCATAGAGCGTGAATCTCACAAACACATAATTGTGTGTTGCAAATTGCCATGTTTACTACACAATTTGAATATGCACAGAGAAACTTATATTTTTTTTTTTTCCTATTATCGAGTACTTTATGCAGAAATCACATTGTTAGAAAATTAATATTGTATACTTAGGTTTGAGCCCCATTTTGAGGAAAAAATGTATTTTGAAATAATGATTTTTTTTTTAGAATGTGTGGTTAAAAAATAAGAAATTTTTTTCGGTTTACGTGTAAAATTATTTTATTGGAGAATGTGGGGTTGAAAATGAGTTTTGAAAAAATGAGTTTTTAGGAAGTAGATGCTTTCTATTGACCACACTATATAAGTGCAATGGATTATTTTTCGTGAAAAAATTAAAATTATTTCTTTTTCTGCGAGCTTTACCTTCATGTTCGAGTGTTACCACTAGCTAGACAGCTCCTAACCCACCCTCAGAATTTCTTCAGTGCCCACCTCCCCTCAAGCCATGAAAGATTGTGATGTGTCACTGCTCTCCTTCCAACTTCCTGGTGGTGTAGACCCCATATTTGCCAACACTACAAAGTTTTCGAGGAAAGAAAAGTCCATGCATTTTAACTATGATTAGCAAATACCATAATTGTTTTCTGTAAACAATAATCTGGCAGCTTTTGAAATTTTGCTTCACTAATTTAACCTTAACATCACCTAAAGATTGTTCTGTTACTTTTAATATTACTTAGACTAAGTGAGAGATATTTATGTCTTTCTTTTGTACAGAAACAATTTTCGGAGTTATTAATGAAGGCAGCAAGTGATTATGGTGCCTTGACAGCTTCTGTGGCTGATTTTCAATGGAGTCAGAACTTTAAAGAACCGCCTACAGTATGGGGGGTATGTTAACTGGAGATCCTATATTTGCTTTGATGACTTCTTGTAATTAACAACCCACCCTACCCCAAACGAAAAAGCACAAGTATATGCACGCATAATTTCATCAAGCTGGTCTACTCCATCTTTAGAACCTTATCTAATGTTCCCTTGTTATTTGCTCTTACACTGCTAGTACAAACAATGCAATCCTGTACTGTCTTGTTTGTGGCTTTGTGCCACTAAAGCCAGAATCAATTTGGCGGTAGACCTTTCAATTTTTTTAAGTCAGATGGAAGGGGTTGATTGGTAACTAGAAAGTACTACTGCATAGGTTGATAACCTTCTGTCCCCACTTGTAAAGCCATTTGTGTAGGGTCTTTTGACTCTTCCCGTTTTACTCTTGGCGGTAGCTTAGAGAATGAATAAAAATGAAAAGAAAGGATACCGAAGGGAAATGAGAAATTGGTTCAACTCTATTACCATGAATCATAGGAGTTAATTGAAATCAGTGTTTGCAAGTTCATGTTTATTTTCAATGAATGTGAGAAATTAGTACTATTCTACTAGATACGCCAGGAAAGATGGAAATGTATAACATTTAATTAGATTTTTGAAGATCAAAATCCATGAAGGAGGGTTTTGTTGACTACACTCGTCGAGTTTTCATTAGCGGACTTGTTTTTCTAAGCAATATCTTTTGCTAGTTTATTGGTTTGTCATTAATGCACTTTAACCATATTTCATGATTTAGGAAATGCTCCGTCCAATTCCTGTTGCTTTAGCATCATGCACTCGATTCTTCGAAGCCATGACAGCAATGAGAGAGTCGTTTGCCAAACTTCAAACTCTGAGAATTGGCCATTCATCTGAAAGAGTGCAAGGAGATCCCAACTGTGTAACTCCTCTGCCTTGGAGGAATGAATCAAGCGTTGATTATTTAGCCATTGGGAGCGCGAGAAGGCAAGGAAGTGAGCAGCTAGAAGGGGATGAACCAGCTAACGAGATTGGGGACTCGAATCTGGTTGATAGCACAAGTTTCAGGAGACTGTCCTGGCCTCCCTCAGTGAAGAAAAATGGACTATAAAACTCCCTTGTTAATTTGCAGCAAAGATAGAAAATGAAAATTGTTTGCCGTATTTCAACAATGATACGAGTATTTGTGGAAGTCTTGGTGTGGGTATTTGTTGTAAGTTTCTCCAGATATGATATCGACCCATTTAATTTTCATTTTACTTGTCTTGGTGGTTAAGTTATATGCATAGTTCCATTTATTTGTCTTTTTGTGAAGAATTATAGAGAGGAAAACTCTATTTTCACTTATCTTAAATAACAGGAAAATGTACATTATATAGGAGAAGCATGACGACATTTTTGTCATTGAATCTCCATAATTCTAGTAATAATCAATCCCTCTAATTAAGGGATACATGGACAGAAATAAAACCAAATCAAAAAAGGAAATAGAATCATCCTCATCTCTTTATTTAAAACATGGAAAGAAAATAAGAAACTGATCCCTAAAATTTGGGAACTAATTTTGGAATTCCACACTCCCCCTCAAGCTGGAGAATAGATGTCAATCATTCCTAGCTTGGAAGTCAATTCTTCAAACTTTACTCTGGGAAGGGCTTTCGTTAGGATATCAGCCACTTGAAGATGTGTAGGAGTATAAATCAAGTTCAGTATACCTTCTTCAGCCTTCTCTTTAATGAAATGGCGGTCTAGCTCCACATGCTTAGTCCTGTCATGATGAACAGGATTTTTAGCAATGCTGATTGCGGCCAAATTGTCACAGAACACCTTCATTGACTCTTTTGTTGGAAGTCTTAATTCGTTAAGCAATCTTCTCAGCCATATTCCCTCACATATACTTTGAGCTAAAGCCCTGTACTCTGCCTCGGCACTACTTCTTGCAACAACAGATTGTTTCTTGCTACGCCAAGTTACCAAGTTTCCCCATACAAAGGTGCAATATCCAGTAGTTGATCTTCGGTCTGTAATGGATCCTGCCCAATCTGCATCAGAGTATACTTCAATTTTCTTAGTTGTTCCCTTTCGAAAGAATAGTCCTTTACCAGGAGTCATTTTCAAGTATCGAAGGATCCGATAAACTGCTTCGAGATGCTCTTCATTAGGCTTGTTCATGAATTGACTTACAACACTTACTGGAAAGCCTATGTCTGGCCTTGTTTGAGAGAGATAAATGAGTTTTCCTACTAGCCGTTGATATCTTCCAGTGTCAACGGGAGGACTATCTTCTTTGAAACCCATTTTATAATTTGATTCCATCGGAGTGTCTGCAGGCTTGCATCCTAACATTCCAGTTTCTTTTAGTAGGTCCAAGATGTACTTGCGTTGTGAAACCACAATACCTTTCTTCGAACGAGCAACCTCCATGCCTAGGAAGTATTTTAGATTTCCTAGGTCTTTGATTTCAAATTCTTTAGCCAGTACTTCCTTTAAGCTATTCATTTCTTGAGTATAATTTCCTGTCACAATGATGTCGTCAACATAAACAATGAGAATAGTAATTTTTCCATTAGGAGAGAATTTTGTGAATAAGGTATGATCAGCTTGCCCCTGAGTGTATCCATGCTTCTTGATTGCCTTTGTAAACCTGTCAAACCACGCTCTAGGAGATTGCTTAAGTCCATACAAAGACTTTCGGAGCTTGCAGACTTTGTTAACATTGCTTTTTGTTTCAAAGCCAGGTGGAATTTCCATGTACACCTCTTCTTCCAAATCACCATTGAGAAAGGCATTTTTGACGTCTAATTGATGAAGGGGCCAATCTTGATTAGCTGCTAAGGATAACAAAACCCGAATAGTATTAAGCTTGGCAACAGGAGCAAAGGTCTCTTGGTAGTCTATGCCGTAGGTCTGAGTAAATCCTTTAGCAACAAGCCTTGCTTTGTAGCGATTTACACTTCCATCCGGTTTATACTTGACAGTGAAAATCCACTTGCATCCTACTGGTCGTTTTCCTTTTGGTAAATCTGAGAGTTCCCAAGTACCATTCTTTTTAAGAGCACTAATCTCCTCTCCAATGGCTGCCCTCCATTCTGATTTTCTTAGAGCATCATGAATACTCTGTGGAATTTCTACATTGGATAGATTAGTGGCAAATGCCCGAAATTCTGATGATAAACAATCATAGGAAACGAAATTGTAGATTGGATGTTGAGTACATGATCTCACACCTTTCCTCAATGCAATTGGAACATCAAGATCATCATTGGCAGCAATATCAGTTTGAATTTCATGAATAGTGTTACCTGGACTATCTGGATGCGGATTGGATTCATGGTTTTGCTCAAGAAGTGTGCAATCCTCTATCTCCTCTTCAGCCCTCTTCCTCCTTGAATAAACACGTAGCTCATTATTAACTGTAGGTTGACTTTGAATTGGAGTGATAGGGTCTTGGGTGTTGGGCAAAGCTGTTTGAGTTGTTATGGTGGTGTTTGGCTCGGTTTCTGGTTGAATAGATGTGTTGGACTCGATTTCTGGTGGGATGAAGGTGTTAAGATCAGTTTGTGGAGAAATGGAAGTGTCAAGCCAAAAATTACATTCTTGTATAGTGGAATTCTCCCCCTGAACGTGAGTTTTTGGGTAATATGATTGATTTTCAAAAAATGTTACATCCATGGATGTATAGAATTTTCTAGTGATAGGCGAGTAGCATTTGTAACCTTTTTTAGTGGGAGAGTAGCCAAGAAAGAGACATTTGATGGCCTTTGGGTCAAGTTTGCTTCGGTGGTGTTGATGAATGTGCACAAATGCCGTACATCCAAAAACTTTTAATGGTAGGGATGAGATAATTTGGGTGTCTGGGTAGGAGTGGACAAGTGTTTGACAAGGTGTTTTGAATTTGAGAACCCTGGATGGCATTCTGTTAATGAGATATGTGGCCGTGAGGACTGCCTCCCCCCAAAAATGTTTAGGGACATTTGTAGTGAACATAATAGATCTAGTCACTTCAAGAAGATGTCTATTTTTTCTTTCTACTACTCCATTTTGTTGGGGTGTGTCAATACATGAGCTCTGATGCACTATTCCTTGACTTATTAAGTACTCACCAAGAATGGAATTGAAATAATCTTTCGCATTATCAGATCTAAATACCTTTATTTTTGTCTGAAATTGTGTTTGGATCATGTTGTTGAAGTTTTTGAATATAGGGCCAGCTTCAGATTTCTCTTTCATCAAGTATATCCAAGTTACCCTAGAATGATCATCAACAAATGACACAAACCACCGAGCTCCTGAGATATTTTTTACATTAGATGGTCCCCAAATGTCACTGTGAATAATTGCAAAAGGGTGAGATGTTTTGTACCCATGGATTGGATAAGAGCTTCTCACATGTTTGGATAATTGACACACTTCACATTGGAAAAACTCAATATTGGTATTATTGAATAATGCAGGAAACAACTTTTTCAAATATTGGAAGTTGGGATGACCTAATCTATAGTGCCACAACAAAATAGCACTATTGTTATTGGACAGATTTGAAAAAACAGGAAATGACACACTACTTGCAGCTTGAGCTTGTTCTTTAGGATTACTAGGGCCTTTAAAGAGATAGAGACCATCGCGTTCCTTAGCATTGCCAATCATCCTCCCCGATTCCAAGTCCTGAAATTCACAATGAGTTGGGAAAAATTTAGCAACACAATTTAAATCCTTGGTAAGTTTACTAATGGACATCAAATTGCACGTCAAATTGGGAACCAAGAGAACAGAATTTAGATTTAGGTTATCTGTGATAGCAACAGATCCTATTCCAGCCACTTTAGATGACGATCCATCAGCAATTCTAACCATAAAATTTCCAGAGCTTGGGCTATAGGTGTGAAATAAATTAGCATTACCGGTCATATGATCTGATGCACCGGAGTCTACAATCCAGGGGCTGTGTTTCTCCATTTGAGTACTAAAAGCCACTGGGAAGTTACCTTTTTGAGCGACTGATCCAGTGCTTGTGGAATCAATTGGAGAAGAGGATGGTGATTGTTGGCTGATTAGTTTTTGAAGTAGTTCAATTTGCTCTTTGCTGAATAGAGTGGTCTGGAGTGTAGATTGCTCTTCTCCTGTGGACATGTAGCCACGACTTTCTGTAGAAGTTTTTGGTTTCCAGTCTGTTGGCTTTCCGTGCAACTTCCAGCAGCCATCCTTCTTGTGTCCAGGTCTTCTGCAATAGTCACACCATGGTCTTCCGCCCTTGTTTGGTCAATTATTGTCAGAAGAAAGATTAGTTCCGCGGGCAGCAAAGGCAGAACCTTCATTCAAGGTTGAGAGGACTGGATTCCCCATCATAATCTTCTTTCTACTTTCTTCCCTTCTAACCTCAGAAAAGGCTTCTCTGATTGAAGGAAGAGGTTTAATCCCAAGGATTCTTCCTCTTACTTCATCCAGATTTTTATTAAGACCAAACAAAAATTTAAAGATTCTTTCTTTCTCAACAATCTTCTTGTACTTAAGATTACATTCTGGACAGCCAAGTTTAGCATCATCAAAGAGATCTAGTTGCTGCCAATACCTATTTAGGATATTGAAATATTGAGTGACAGTAAGTTCCCCTTGGCGGAGATCGTGTAGAATACCCTTTACCTCAAATAATTCTGAAGTATTTTCGTTGTCAGAATAGGTTTCCTTTGCAGCATCCCAAATTTCTTTGGCTGTCTTGTAGTACATGAAGTCCTCTCCAATTTCTTTGGTCATGGAATTGATTAACCACGACATCACCATGCTATTTTCAGATTTCCAAGCTTTGTGTTTTGGATCCGTTGTTGGTGGAGCAATAGCTGCCCCGGTGAGGTAGTCGTCCTTCCCTTTTCCACAGATGAACAACATAACTGAATGAGACCATTGTAGGTAGTTCTTTTCACTTAACTTATGCCCAGTAATAGGCATGATCAAACTCTCTTGTCCACCATTGATGTTGGAAGAGGTGACCTCTTGATTAGAGGTCATAGCAGAGGCAGAGGTTGTATCTGTGGTGGCCATTCCGTACTTCACCATTCAGATTGAGGTAGGTACAGATTCGGCTCTGATACCATGAAGAATTATAGAGAGGAAAAC